TCTGTTTACAGGATTGATTAAAATATGATTAATTTTATCAAACTCACTCTGTTGTGGATGCTAACACAGCTGCCTGGGAACTTACTGTGGAACCCGTTTCCTCACATGGACTGTTTCATTAACAAGGATAAAGCAGACTGTTCGAACAAGAACTTAACGAACATATCACTCCTCAATCTACCGAAAAATATTACAACCTTAGACCTATCAGGGAACATATTTGTCAATGTACCAGATACATTTTTTGAATCGATATCGGAGTCAAAGATTGAAATACTCATTATGAGTAGATGTTGCATTCAAAACATATCGCACAAAGCATTTTCTCTGATCCCTTACGTACATTCGATTGATCTTAATTCAAATAATTTAACGCCGGAAACCGTCAGGGAAGGATTGAAAAGTCTGAGTGGGTCCAAAATAAAGAATCTCAACATTTCGAACATTTACAATCCTTCACGACTCTTACCAAAAAGGCTTCTCTTAAGTCTCCAAAAGACCAATATCACAAGTTTAACGATGAGGAAGTGGAATCTTTTAACCGTTGAGGGATTTTCTTTTCAAATTCTTCCATCCTTGAAAATATTGGATCTAAGTCAAAACGAAATTCAAAGTATAAATATGTCCGGTTTCTCAAAACTTGAGCTGTTGAATCTGACTTGGAACGAACTGTTCACTTTACCAAATATGTGTGATTATGCTAATAAATCACTTGTTCCTGAACTGAAGAAATTATATATTGCTATAAACCATTTATCTGATTCATCCCGATTCCTGAGACAAGGACACTGTTTGCCAAACTTATATTATTTAAATATATCATTTAACGCAATCAGAATTTTTAAATCAAATTCATTTTCAAACTTAAAAAAATTATCAAAATTGCGCATGGGAAACATGTTAACTTACGATATGATAATAGAAAACAATGCCTTAAATTCAACATCATTAAAGAAACTGTTCTTTGGAAGCTACATAAGAGTGAGCAAGAAAACTTTTAACCATACAACTCTCTTTAAGAATTGCAAACAGATAGCACATTTAGAAATGTCAATTTTCGATTTCTCTGACTTCTCCATTAATGAATTCCGCATCATGTTGTCACCCCTTAAAAATCTCGAGGTGCTTATTTTGCGCCAAACCATGCTATATACGGTCCCTGATATCTCAATGTTCCCAAGACTTAAAACTCTTAACTTGGAGGAAAATTGGATTCGGCAGGTTCACAAAGATTATTTTCTGAATAACTCCCGACTTGAAAAAATAAGCTTTAGAAAAAACCAAATAACAACTGTTCGAGAAGACTCATTCACAGATGAAATCTGGAAACAACCAAACCTCTCCATAGATATATCGCATAACCCGTTTGCGTGTGACTGTGACCTTGAATGGTTTCTCAAATGGGCGTATAAAAAAGGTGTGATATCAAAAAACAGCGAATATCAATGCGATTCTCCCAAAAAGTGGAAGGGAACTCAACTTGATGTTCTCATTGAAAGTCTAAAGACAGGCTGTCATCGGCTGTTTGTGACAATTTTAACAGCATGTTCCTTGGGGTTTATATTTGTATTTATTATGATTCTTGTTTGGAAGTTAAGGTGGGACATTAAGTATTATCTTCATAAATGGACAAACAGAAAAAGAACTAAATATAGAGCACTTGTTGAAAGGGAGTTAAAAGAATACGACGGATTTGTTGCATACAACACGCATGACCGGAAATGGATTATGTCAGAGCTTGTTGATGTCATGGAGCAAAAAGAAAACTACAAGCTCTGTCTTCACGAGAGAAATTTTTTACCAAGTTGTGCTCACGTTGATAACATACTGGAGAGTATTGAAGCCAGTAGAAAATTCATATTGGTACTTTCGAACAACTTTATGGAGGATCAGTGGTGCAATTACGAAACTATCATTGCTAATCATAAGTTAGCTGATGGAAATGGGGACAGGGTTTTTCTTATTTTGTTGGGGAAAATTAGCTCTAAACATTTTACAATCGCACTGAAAACTTTATTAAAATCTGTAGAAAATGTGGAATGGACTCTTAACGAAAATGGGAGGAAATTATTTTGGAACAAACTGAAAAGTTTTATGCGGGAATAAGTTTGAAAAGAAAAATGTAGTTTATTCTTTAAATTGTTATCATTGTTTTTCTTTTAAATTAAAAATATATTTAAGTCAGTTTTTTTTATTTTTTGTACCTGGTAAATTCTTCCATCAGGAAAAAGTACCTGCTTACTAATGTCACATTTTGGACAATAGAGATTTTGATAAAATTTCAAAGGTTTCTTTATATATAACAACTCATCTATCAAGTTGAAAGAGGAAGTTTAAAATATTTGATAATAAAAACACCATGTTTTGTTTTTCAGAAGATTTTAAATTATATATTTTTGACCTTAATGTCACTGGATAAAAATATTAACACAAATTCTTTAAAATCAAGTTTATTGATTCCAAATAAGGGTTTCTAGGTACTTGTAACCATTGCTGTCGAAAAAAAATCTTATTTTCATATATTCACAATTATCTAAAATGTCCATGCTCACCAATAATTGATATTATATACACATCAAAACCAAAGTGATGTTGTGGTGAGAACCTCTTTGTTACACCTCTTTGTCATTGTCTATGTAAATATCATGATTATTTTCGAAAATGTGTTCATTCTTGTTGCCACCAGACGGAGTGGGAAGTTGAGAGACAACATTCATCATAACCTTGTCTTGTCGCTGTCTGTCAGTGATTTGGTACTTGGTCTGAGTATGGTCGATCCAAACAATTCTCGTCATTCAAATCAACAAATCCTACCAAACAGATGTAGTATACTCAATGACACAAATATCGTTATTTTATCAGGTCCCATGGCATGCTTGTACCTTTGTTTCCTTTTACCCCTGTCAAGTTTTTGTCCTTCTTAATAAGTCACATTGATGTTTATGATCAACCCTAAAATAAGACACCAGTAATTTTTTTTCATATAGAGGATCTTAAAATTGCAATAAAGTCTATATTTAAGATCAATAAATTCACTGAAATCTAATCTGGTTTTGGAATAAGCAGTTAGAATTTATTCCAAAATTAGTAAAATGAATTCTGGAATAAGAAAAGGGTTTTAAATAGAAAACATGTCAACTCCTCTATAGTGAATACATAAGTTTGTGTAAAACATTCTCACTATAATAAAGCATAATATTGTGATAGTTGTTGCACATACAATATGTTTTAAATGTTACTGATATGTTATTAAAAACAAAGGTAAAATTTCAAAAATGTAAAAAAATAACCATACTTATCACTTCATTTGAAGGGAATAAGTGCAGTACTATCATCGAAAAATCAAATTGTTCTATCTAGTTCTAGGTGAAATATACTTTTAAAAACATTCTGACAAGAATACAGAAGTACTCTGTGGTGAATTTTGAAAAGGATGCCTGAAATCCTCATTGACAGAACTGGTGTACTCTTTTGAGACCTGGTCCAGACCGTGGGCGGATTCAACCTCTTATACACAACTGTATACCCTGCTCACAATTTGGATCGTCTAATAGGACCCTTGGTCATTATTTCTGTTCTTTATTGATACAAAAAGGGCCATGTGAATTAATGAAATTCTTGATTGGATGGTAAAATGTTCACCCAAAATATATCAATGAAATCTTTCTTTCGAAATTCAAATTGTTCCATCAAGTCTTTCATTGGATTATTCTTCAAATCCGCCATAAAAAAATTGTGCCTTTCGTTATGCCCTCTGTTGTTGACGATGCATGCGGCATAAAGGCAAAAGGTACCAGGGGATTTAGATAAAAGAAAAAAAATCTCATTGCTTGTGATTGGATATGAATTTCATCAAATAGTGGACAATAGTTATATTGCATGAGATATCTTGTAAAAATAATCAAAACTTCATTAAATTTTTGGAGGAGACCGGAAAAAATCTTGATTTCTGGATATTACAGAGGCCAAGGTTACTCATTTATTTTTAGCTTTTTGACCCAGGGTTCCTGATTGTAGTGTCCTACTGAAATCGTCTGTCTTTCTTCGAAAAACAATCAACACTTTCATTGCTTTCTCTATATTACAAATACTACGCACTCAGTAGTAGTTTGTATTCACGTTGTTGCATTTTAGATTACTGTAATCCAATGCATATGTTTGAATTTATCACTTGATTTATTTAATGTTCGTGTGACGCCAAGCACATCTTTTTTCTACCTTTATTTAAATCTCCCAAGTGCACGCTGGTCAGCCGTGTCAAAACAGCCATTCAAGTAGTTTCACTCTTTAATCTTAGGTTGTGTAAGACATAGTTATAGTTTCGTATACAGTATATTTTCTTTTTATGTTTAAATACAGACAAATCCTAATTTTTTTCCCCGTCGAACCGAGGATACTAAAACGTGTCTAAATTTAGTGGACGACTTTAAGCAGATATGTAAACTTTTAGAAGTGTGGAGATTTTGCAAGACATTATTGAAAAGAAAAAACGAGGTAAGTTAAACAATGCATTTACACTTTCAAATAGTTTCTTTGATGAGCTTTCTCAAAAACAAAATGATCATTATGTACAAAATTTTCTCCAGCTAGCCAAGAGGGCATAATATGTGACGGACTAGAACAAATTAGATTTATTTCTTTTACTCTTCATAATAAATTAAATCAGAAAAGAATCAAGTCCTTGAAAAAGACTGAAATAATTGGATTATATGCAAGCAATTCTTATAGAAACGATTTCTCCCTATTTAGTCTCACATATGTTTTGATTCTAGTTTCAATAAAAAGAAAGTGTGTGAGGGTGTGTGACTATGTGTGTGTATTTTCTGTATGTGTATGAACTAGTAAGGGATGGTATGTAGGAGGGTCTTTTTAAGTGAAAGATGGACAATTCCCATGCCCATGAACACCTGACAGCTAAATTATCAGATCTAGACTTTTTAAAGATGACCACTTTTATGATTAAATATTTAAAATTTTACATATTTGTCTATCCAAGGCGAAAAAATGTCTGACCGAAAAGAATCTCCTGCTCCTAAAGATAAGGGACCTGGGGAAGTCTGGTATGTTTTCTTCAGTGGAATACAAATTTGGGGAAAACTCAGAGATGACAAAAGATAAATAATACGTAATTTTTCGTAATTTTCACATATTTTTTGACAGGCACGGTAGTAAACAATCTTCGACGTCTGCAGAAAAAGGACCCATACAGCTCTGGTAAGTCTTTTTTCAATTCATGTATTCTTAACCATTTGCAAATACTCAGTAATACTGAAAAAGAATTTGAAAAAAAAATCAGTTAAGAATATCTATTTTCAACTGTTTTCGAAAGGCGCAGTAGCAAATCTGACGAGGGCAAAGTGAAGAGACTTACACAGGTTTATGAAGAAAAGGATCGAAGTGCCATAACCCCTATGAAATTGTTTGTTGAAATATTTTTAATTTCTTTTATATTATTTTGTTTTCAAAAAATTAAATCAATAAGAGAAAAAAAACCACGTGTTTTCAATATGAAAACTATAATGTATATATAAAAAATGATAATCAATGATGGATTCTATCGGAAATTAATTATTTTATTTATACCTTGACACAGAATGCTGCATCCGGATAAGCGAAAGTCTGTAAACTCATTTCAAGGACAGGTGGCGGTTGAAGGCACAAGAGTACCTTCGTAAGTTGATTCCAGGAACTATAATTATTATGTCAATATTATAAAAAATATATATATATCGGAATCATACACACTGCATCCACATGTATAGCTATCATCATAATGTATCCTGTCAAATCAACCTTCTTTCACAAACCTACGAGGCAATAATCAATATTTTTATCTTAACTTAAAGCAAATACATCTAATTTAGAGATATTGGTGTTCCTAAACTTCGTGGAATTTTTGAGTCCATACAAAATCTACTCCAAAGAGAGGAATTTGACGAGGACATGAGATCAGAATTAGAGTGTATTTTCCCCAATTATCAACAAATGCTTGAGGAAAGAATTTGTGATCTGGACAGAGAAGACAATGGGGTTGTCGTGGCAGGTCTGTGTTTGTTATTTTATTAATCTATATAAAAAAAGTAGGTATTGGTACACCAAATTGACAAAAAATTATCAAAACACAGGTGTGCATTTGAATTGGTAAACGGTTTTACAATTCATTTCTAGTTATAATTAATACTGTCCATTTTAATCGTAAATTATGCATATCTTAAGAAAAAGAAAGTTTCATATATAAATATATACATTTGTGGTATCTCTCCATTATATAAACATACAGAGAGAAAATATCTTCAATTCTGTATGAAGTTTGTCAGAGGTCAGAGGTCAATACGTGACCTAATCACACGGCGCAATAATATCTACCGGTACATAAATTATGAAATGACCCACTCTACTTGCTTTTCATGTATAAAAATGAATAAAATAAGCAAGTAAAATGATAATTATTTTATTTTAAATGTAAACAAGTATTTCACACAGTTTTTGGGCTATCGATTCAACCTGTGTACATAGAGAAAACTGGGAGCCTAGCGTTTGTTTACATTTTTCTTCACTTTTGTCAGCTGCACAGTCTCTAACGTTCATCCTTATTTTTTGGATAGACCTTTGGTTAAATTTTCATGATAAACTTTTATTTTATCTTTAAATTTTACTCACGATAAATGTGTATTGGAAAATATCTTTGCAATCATGCCATGATTAGCTGCCAAACACCTCGGCGTTTTCATAGTTCAATGTAAAGCCGTCGCCAGTGTCTCCGTGTTTATCAGTGTTTTACGATAAGTATGTCTTTAGTTACTGAAACCGTGGAATATTTTTGATCAAATTGCAAATTAACTGGCTCAGACAAGTGTCTCAGTCCATCGGATCCATCCATCCCTTTCCAGCGACCGAAATTCCTCCAACTTTTTATCATCAAACTTCGGACGTGTTTCGATTATCATTTTTCACGAATAAAATATTCCCAGACAACAATCTCATGAATCTGTTCACTATTACTGATCACAAGTAGCCTTCCACAAAATATTCCCTTCGAAATAGATTCCTTAGCCTAATGAATTCGAAGCGTAACCGCCATGCAAGCCGATTTACACCTTGCGTCATTTTCAAAATCTACGACGGACGGTTAGTAATAATTTAAATTCGAAAATATTCAATTGTCTGTCTCAAATGTATATATAAGTAATAAATAACAAGTTTATAAACTTCAATGGGAATTGAAGTGGAAGTTGACGTGATCAAATCTTCTGAGAAGGCCTTCGGCCTTCACAGGATTTGATCATATAGTGACCGTTGTTCAATTCCCATTGAAGTTTATAAACTTGTTATTTATTTCTTAATTGTATTGCATGTAAATGTATATCTATACATAACGATTTATAATACATAATTTTTTTTTTGGACTGTAAAGCATCTCTTAATATACATCAATTTATTATTAATTACAATATTGTCTTATATACTTTAGTTAACAATTTATGAATTTATAAAAACATATTTGTAATCTACAATTTATTATAAAATAACAAGACTGAATTTCACAGTACTAGTACCATACCGTCTTTTGAAAATATGATTTATACACCTACCTTAGCTTCTTCTTTTTTTTTAAACTACTATCCCCAAACTCGGAAACATCTTTTATCTAAAAAGATTGTCTAATTTTAACTGATCTGCAGGTGAAACCAGCTCAGGAAAATCAAGTCTAATAAACACATTGATTGGAGAAAATATTCTAAAGTCTAGAACAACCGAAAATACTTCAACAATTTGTCGGATCTGGAATTCATCAAACATTGGACTTAAGGTCTACAATGACAACAATGAATGCATCTACTCCAAACTGGACTACACCAGAGAACAACTCTCCAAATTCCGAGAAGACGTCAAGCGATATACAGACGTAGAAAGCATGTCCGAGAACTGTTCCTTTGTAGATATATTGTATCCTGTGCCCATATTAAAGGTAAGAAAAACAAATAAGTTCTACCATTTTACTGTAAATCACTTTTTATTCGCGAGAACTTTATTTTCGCGTAATTAAGCGAGACGGAATTGCTCGCGAAAATTTCATTCTCGCGTATTATATAAATCCTTAAGATAATATAGTGCAGTGACCACAATTCGTGAAAATTTTGTCTCGCTAATAAAGAGTCAATGACTATATCGCGAAAATAAGGTGTCGCGAAAATTAAGTGATCTACAGTATTTAATATAAGAAAAAATGGAGGCCATTTCAGATGTAATCATGGCCTTTGATGAAATTGTTAAAATCTTGAAATTAAATGAAATACTACAAAAATCATTTAGAATCATATCTCCATATGTTTCATTAAGATATAAATCAGCAGAGATTCATCGTCTTAAAGTCTCCTATACATTCAAGTATTTCTAAAGTAAACAAAATACAAACAGGGTGTCACAAAACACTTTTAAACCGTTAAAAAAATATTATGCCTCAAGTTACAATAATGAAATTTTACATTTATAATTAAATTGTTATAATTTTTTTATCAAGCTTACATTTGCCTCAGCTTCCTTATTAATCATCAACATTTTTTCCTCGGAAAAAGATATGTCATTTTACAAGATGTTCCAAATGACGTCCCTTTGAATTAAAATTGTTTCAACACAATTTCTATTCTTTTTTTATTTTACCAAGCTTCAATATAACATTCTAACAGTTTAGAGGTTTTTCTGTATTGAAATCGGGTTTCATCAAACAACAAAAATTAAGATTTTCTTTAAAAACATTGTTAAAATAGAAGTGGGCTTCATCGGAAAACTATGCATCTGTAAAATTTTCCGAGTTGGGTCCACTTAAAATCCAATAAGTAAACTCTAAGTACTTATAATTTCTGTCTCTTTCAAATGCTGCATTAAACTTATCTTGTAAGGAATCAATTAATTCTAAATCAAATTTGAGTATTTTATGTTTACTAGATTTACCAACGGTGCTATCTTGTTCATGCAGGACCCCTCTAAGGGAATTTTGTCAATTTTCAGAAATAACTCAATAATAATAACGTTCCTCCTTGGTATGGGCACCCTTAGGTCTTCTAATTCCAGAATTAAGTAATGTGTCACTTATAGTGTCTTTAACTTCACACTCCATCACAAAACTACAAATAAGTACTCTGTCAAGCATTTTTATACAGGATGTTGTTTTCTCACAGTTATAATGACTAAAGTAGCAGATTTAGACCCATAGTAAAGTTTTACGATTTCTACCAGCTGTTCACATGAAGGTTCACAATTAAAAATATAATGACGTCATTGGGAGATTAGAATTATCTAATATAGACGATTAAAAGTGTAACATATGTTTTGGGACACCCTGTATGTACTGAGATTATGATTCGGATATTTCAGACATTTGAATATACGTTTCATATATTCATGTTTTTAAAATTCTGAAAACACTTTACTGGTTGTACATAAATCTTTCCAAAAGACAAGAAAAATTTATCATAGTTCATGATATCATGTGTTTGAATTTCACAGGGGAAAACAATTCTTGTCGACACCCCTGGAGTTGGAGGTACAAAACGTCTAGAAGAATTAATGTTGAAGTACTTACAAAATGCAGTCGCTTTTGTCTTCCTTGTAAATGCCTCAAACGCTGGTGGTTTGCAAGATGATAAGGTATTAATTTTCCTGTAGCTATTAAGAGAAAAGTTAGAAAGAACTTCAAGAACGTATATTTTGTGCAATTATAAATGAAATTATCGAATTCTTTTATACAAAACCATGAAGTAAAGAAATCATCATTTTTTTCATTTTATGTTTCATATAGCTTCCACGGATATTGAAGGACTTAACACTTTATCATAATGACAATAAAATGCCTTGTTTTGATCCGAATGATGTCATCTTCTGTACAAATAAATGGGACGCTGTTGAACAATGCTGTGATGATGAGAGTGACGAAGATGACGTCACAATGACGTGGAATAAAGTGAAGAAGTCGATAAAGAGTCATTGGGGATCTGTGAAAGATGACCAGATTTTTCAAATTTCACTCAAAAAAGTTATGATTTGTCTTCATTTTATACAATATAATTATACCTATATTTTAACAGCAATAAAATAAAAAAAACTTTTATTAATAGCTATGAACGATAAACTATTCATAATTAAAAAGTATGATAAATTATTTAAATGAAATAACGTGTTAAGCAAATTTTTTAAAAAAAATTCCATTATAAGATACAAGCTGAACAGTTATTCCTTCTAATATCGTGAATTGAAGAATTGTACCAATTTGTGACAGTCATTGTGCTGTATTCATCTAGATGAAAGAAACTGGGGAAAGCAAGTACAAAGCGGAGTATGGAAGATTTAAAGATAAGTTGAAAGAAATAATAGACCGAAATTACATCTGTCGGAAACAGAAACATATCAGGTAAAACAAATTTATTTATAAAAGTTGCAAATTTAATCCTAATTTTTTTCTGTTTAATCATAAACAATTGAAAAAAAAAATTCATTCTCTTGACTCACTGGCCTGGCTCTTAAGGGAAATAACCATCTTGTATATTGTTACCCTTCAAAGGTTTTTGACTAGAATTCTACGTATAATAGAAAGGGGAATATGCGGAAGAATACAGGCTTCTGAATCTACGGAGGAGGAATTTAAAACAAAGGTTGATAAACTCTACAGCACCGTTGTGGATCTTTCAAACAAAAAGAAACAGGTGATATTTTTTAACCATTAGATTAAATTAACTCTTGACAAGGACAGGGAAATTTCATTTTCAAAAACAAAATGCTGTAATTCTTTTTTTTTTTTTTTATCAGAATGGTCTTTTTTAAATTTAATTTTTATATTTTAGATTGAAAAAGAACTTCATGTCAAAATAGATTCAACAATTTCGAAACTTTGTACTGACCTTATGGAGTATGTTCGGTCTAAGGAAGGCAGGGACGAAATTTTAAACCCGCCAAACAAAAAGGAAATCAAAGAAATTAGTGTTTTATTACTGCAGAGAAAAGTGAGAGACAGATATTGTGCGTTTCTTGGCAACTGGCGCCAAGGTCCCAAAGTTATTTCTGCTTTTGGAGATTTGGAGCGAGAAATTAAAGAATCATTTACTTCTCTGCAGGGAAAAATTGAACAAGTCGAGAACGATCTGATAGAAGAACAAGATTCTTTATTATATCCGGACTTGAGGCAGACACCTGTATGGTTCAAAGAAGATGGCATAGCAGGGATACTATCTGTCATTGCTGGAATAGTACTGCCGTCACTCTTCTCGGCTGATTTTCGAAGCTTAAAATCAGAAGAGAAAAAAATGGTTATAATAGAAAGGTCTTATGAAGAGTGTGCTAGAATTTATGATGAAGAAACCACAAAACAAGACTTGAATGTGATCTATGGAAACCATTACAGAGATGTTATAGATGCAATGCTTAATATGACAATAGGAAATGATATCAAAAGCTTGTATTATACTTTTGAAAAACTGCATATGGATGGGAAAAGGTTTGAATACAAAGCTAAATATGACAGATACAAAATTTTCCATGAAGCTTTGAAAGATCTAAAGCGAAAAATTGAAGAAGCAGACGGTAGGTTACCAGGATGTTTAATGTAGGGTAATTATCGATAATTTATTGCAATTCCAGACTTTCATCAGCACGATATTTTTGATATACAACTTTCAAGCACACAAAACACGCTAGATTCCACAACAAGTCTTTTTCAGGTAAAAAAAAGATCTGTTCACAAAACTTATATGAATAGGTGGAATATAGGGACAGCCATTATCATATCATTATTTGTTCATTGTTTCATTTTGTTGCTTATTTCAAGACCAATTTTCCAAAGTTCTCATCATATCCCAATTAAAAAATATATGGAGATATGTATAAATTTCAATTAAATATGAACTTCCACATTTTTTTTTTTAAAAAGAAAGACAGAAACTCTATATTTTGATTAGGGAAAGTGTACAAAAGATGTCAATTTTGTTAATTTTTTGCTGAAAAGCACCAAAATACAAATCAAATACATCAAAAGGAAATCAACAGACTCAACTGCAAAATATTTATTCTCTGTAGGAAATAAAAACATGCATAACTAACAGTTATTTACTGTAGCTGTAAATAGCTACAAAATTCAATAAAGATTCGAATATATTCTAGAGACAACATTTCACTTTCAAAATGGAATTACCAACGAAAGAGCTGGAAGCATCAGATTTCAAATAATAAAAACATGTCGGAGTGAAATTGAAATAATGAAGTTTAATAGTAGAATTACTCTTTTAAAGATGGAATATTCAACAATAACCAGTTTTGACATTGGAAATATCCACATTTGATTGAAAAATAAAGTTGAAAAATCCAAAATGAATATTTAAAAAATCAAGATTATAGTTGTAATAACCAATTTTATAGTTGAAAAAGCCAAGAATAAAGTTGAAGCTTCCAACCTAAATAAAAACATGTCACCAATACACTTTCCTTTTTAGATCACCTGAGTCACTCAGGTGACCTATTGCTGTCTGTTTTCGTCCATCGTCGTGCGTTAACATTTGAACATTTTAAACTTCTCTAAAACCGCTCAACCAATTTCAACTAAATTTGGCATATAGCATTTATGGGTGAAGGGGAACAACAATTGTGAATTTTATGATCCCCCCCCCCCCTCCTGGGGCCTGAGGGGTGGGGACAAAACCACTAAAATTAATGAAATCTTTAAAAATCTTCTTCTTTACTCCTGGACATCTAGCAGTCAAACTGTTGGCATGAATGTAATGAGCATTGAGTCCTCTACCAAAATTGTGAAATTCATGGCCCCAGGGTCAGGGGTTTTAGTGCTAGGGTGGGGCTATATAGATTATATAGTGAAAATGCATTATTTCTTTGAAAATCTTCTTCTCTGCTCTTGGGTATTAAATAAACTAAGGACATAGTTATGATGAGCAAGAGTGCCTCTTCCAAAATTTAGAATTTTATGGCCACAGGGTCAGGGTTCTGGTGTTAGGGCAGGGCTCTATTGATTATATAGTGAAAATACATTAATTCTTTGAAAGTCTTCTTCTCTGCTCCTAGGTTTTAAATAAACTTAGTACATAGTTATGATGAGCATTGAGTCCTTTACCAAAATTGTGAAATTCATGACCCAAGGGGGAGGGGGCTCTGGTGCTAGGGCGGAGCTATATAGATTATATAGTGAAAATTCATCATTTTTTTGAAAATCTTCTTCTCTGCTCCTGGGTATTAAATAAACTCACTAAGTACATAGGTATTATAAGCAAGAGTGCCTCTTCCAACATTGTGAATTTTATGGCCCCAGGGTCAGGGGTTCTGGTGTTAGGGCAGGGCTCTATTGATTATATAGTAAAAATGCATTAATCCTTTAAAAATCTTCTTCTCTGCTCCTAGGTATTAAATAAACTAACTAAGTACATAGTTATGAAGAGCAAGAATGCCTCTACCAAAGTTGTGAATTTTATGGCCCCAGGGTCAGGGGCTCTGGTGTTAGGGCGGGGCTTTAATAATTATTTAGTGAAAATACATTAAATCTTTGAAAATTTTCTTCTCTGCTTCAGTGCTCCTGCTTATTTAATAAACTAACTAAGAATTACATAGTTATGATGAGCAAGAGTGCCTCTTCCAAAATTGTGAATCTTATTGCCCCAAAGGTTAGGAGTTCTGGTCTTAAGGTTGGGCTCTATTGATTATATAGTGAAAAACATTAAATTTCTGAAAATGTTCTTCTCTGCTCCTGGGTATCAAGCAGATAAACTACCTATATAGTTATGATGAGCAAGGGCCCCTCTTCCAGAATTGTGAACTTCAGTGCCTCAGGGTCAGGGGTACTATAGAGGGGGCTGTATTTATATACTGAAAATGAATGAATTGTTTGAAACATTCTCCTTGTTATATTAATCAAATATTTTTGACAAGCAAGGGTGCCTTTTCAAAAATTGTGCAATGTGTGGACCTAGGGTCAGGAGTTCATTTGTGGTAGGGGCACTACTTATTATTGGTGAATATTACTGATTAGTTGAAATGCATTTTTGTTCCCCTACCCTGCCTATGGGTATTAAGTAACCAAACTAAGCAATTGCTAAGTGTATAGTTATGAAGCGAACTGCACCAAAGCATGCCGCTCCCGAATCGGACTTTACAGCCACAGTCGGCGCTGTCAATCAACCACAGACTGATCCTGATCCTTGGCACGATCTCCATTGTCTCTCGAGACAGAAGGATGCCAACAATAACAACAACAACAGTTATGATTAGCAATAGTGCCTCTTTCAAAATTATGAATGCCATAGCATCTAGCTTAAAACTTGAACCAAATTCAATCACTGTGAAGTTGTTGCATGACGCTCAGGGGACTATAAGGCCCATGGGCCTCTTGTTACAATAATCAAATTACTCTACATATTGGTCGTCAGGGATTTAACGTAAATGCATGTTAGCTATTTCTTATTTTTATTAATAAACTATATAGAATGACTACTAGTATATGCAGAATGCTATAAAAATTGCCCTGTTGGTAAGCCCTTTAAAACTGGTTAAATATGCAAAGCATAAAAGAAGTATAATGATAACCACTAACAGAGCTCGAAAACTTTTTAAAATAATTATTTTAATACTTGTAGATTTTCTTCATATGTTTAAAAAATAGTAACAGAAATGTTTATTTTACTGTTAAAAATTTCTCTCTTTTTTAGATAACCTCGCTCAGGATTCCAATCAATCAACATTAGCTGAGTGCACGTGAATATGCTTGCCTGACTTTGAATCTGCAAGAATTAGGCTTAGCAATTCTTTCACAATTCCTTAATAAAAATAAAAAGAAAGAGAACTCTTCTTATTGACGTTTTGATAGCATCTTCAGTTTACATACTTCTGGGTCATATTATCGGGGTATGTGTTCCCTTGATAATTTTGCAGATCTGAATATAAACTAAACTATAGATAAACACATTAACTACTTTTCTAACATTCGTATGATCTTGACCTTTGACCATAATTTCAAGGTCAAAGATTGTTTGGTTCAAAAGCAAAGCAAAACCGGACATTTAAAACATCATAAAAGTTGCCATGAAGGAGTGAGCATCATTGTCAACAGATCACACCCGTGTGCTCGTTGTCATGTTCGGAGAATAACGGAAAAAGATCAAGTGACAACTAGGTGTGTACGTAATGGTCTAACAATTAGTATTTGGCTTTAATTGATAGGTTGTACTTGCTGACAAGGTCATTGTATCGACCATAAAATCTACAAAATGATGGACTTAAACAAAACTGTTAATATTCTTCTTTCCTCAGCTTGTTAGTGTAGATTACTGCTTTTTTTTAATTGTTCATACGTAGAGCATGCTCTTGCATATCGAATCAATGGAGATCTTTAGATATAAACCCCATATGCAGGTAATTAGGATATATCGCTGCATTGGTACAGGAAGTTGTTGATTGAAAAGAAAGTCATCATGTTTATCTTAATGCCTGGTTGTTAGCTTTCAACTTCCGTCTTTTCTAGTAGAATTCAAAATATGAAACAGTGTTAGATTCTTTGATATCTTTTATTTCATGCTCACTGGGATATATCGTGTCGACAGATGACAAAATTCGTACTGTCGTTATATCTTTTAATCAAAATCAGTGAAAAATAATTGGAAGTTCAAAGTAGTTTTGAGTACCGGTAAAGAAAAACGGGTCCATTTTAATTTACTTTCAGAATATCTTTGGAAGTAATAAAATCATTCCAGAAACAACATGTCACTTTAATTATTAGATCAAGGGTACTTTAAAAGTTTTCCATGTTGATCATGATCACTATGTAGAGAAATAGAGAATCCTTCATTACACTGATAATACCGACCAATCGTATTAAATGATTGTTAATGAGGAGGAGGGTTATTTGTAAAAAACGACAACACGAGTCCAGTCAAAGCCATATATTGTCTGCGTTTTTGGTCACATGAAAATAATATTCTTTTGATTGAAATTGTAAACTACGGATCAAAAACTTTATAAATTGTGTCCAGTATATATTCTTATAATGAAGAAACAATATACACTTATCCACTGGTTGTGAGTGGGATAGCTCTTTTATCAAACCCGCGACAAGGAACTATTCCCCGAGGGCTTGCCCGAGAGGAATAGTACCTGTCAAGTGTTTGGTAAAAAGCTATCCCACTCAAAACCAGTGGATTAGCGTTTAATTATAATGATGCATTATATAATTTCTGAGGTTTGAATTTTTTTTTATGTAAAATAATACTGCAAGAATAAGCTGAAATCCTGATGACGTCACAATGCTACTGAAGTCATTATGACATCATCAATCAATAGATTTATCACTGGAAATCAAAATTGGAGGCAAAAATTGCATGAGAATTTTCCGAGGGTGGATAGCAAAAACTATACCCCGGGGTATAGCTTTGCTATGCGTGAACTATAAAAGATAGTTATTTTACCTTCTTAACTTTATATAGGAAACATCAGAAGTATGATAATTAAAGTTATCTCTTCGTAAAAAGATAACCGATAAGCTGGGGGTCTATCATGACATTGACTGAAAATAATTTGAGCAAGTTGATGATCACTGGCAGAAAAAAAAACCCACAATGCTCAAAAATCTTCTTAGGTGATGACTGTTTAAAGTTCATATAGTAGGATATGGAGATAACGAACATTATTCAATACCAAAGTCCATAAAACAATACAAAATAGGAGCAGAGCAAACAAGTACCTCCGAAACATCTGAGGTGGGATTAGGTGCCATGGAGTAGTGAGCATCCCCTGCTGACCGGTCACACACGCCGTGTGCTCCTTGTCATGATCGGGAAATAACTGAAAAATTCGTCATCAATTCAATGTAAAAAAAATGGACTAACAATTAATATGAAAAACGAGAATTAGCATTTGATTTAATGATAAATTGTATGTGATTTCAAGATCACTGTATCGACCATAGAACTTACAAAATGTTGAATTTAAACGAGACTACTTTAAAACAACCGTTATTTATGATCTGAAGGTGTGTCCTGTTTATGACACGCAATCATTTAATTAATTTTAAGGCACTTGCAGAAAATAATCATAATTCATATCTTGGGTAAATGTTGTAACAGAGAAACATTTGAAACTCCTGTGTCAGAGAGTCTAAATTGGTGTTATGAACTTTACCAAATGTCATTTTCAAAAGTTTTCAGTTACTGGTTGACTACTGGTATATGTATAACTACCTCCTCGGGAAAAACATTGGATGCAGGAAAAAAAAATGCAGCAGGAATTTATCCAGTTTGTGGCTTTGGTTACAAATCCTAATTAAAAATTAAATAATATGTTGAGAAAAAAGTTACTTTTTAAGAAATCTAGATCAATGATGTAGTTAATATATCAGACATAGTCATTATTTAACACTCAGACAAATTAGATATTTATTATTGAATATTTTACAAAATGACATCATCTGTGTACGGTTAGGATGCATTGTTATACAAGTTTTGTTTAATTGGCCCCGCAAATTCCCCTTATCTGTCAACAAAGAACCATTTCGGTTCATCGACCTGTTATTAATTTTTTTAGCCAAGGCTTTGTTTTAATTCAAACTAGCTTCATAAAAATAGATTTTGAATTTTTTTATTTAATGTGAACATGGCTTTGTATTCTTTATACCATCAGATCTAACAGTCTTTCAAATCAAATAATCTCTAATTCATTGTGGGTAGGCCTGCCTAATGGAATACATTAAACTGGGCAAAAGTTTGAACATTGATTTCAAGTACTCAAACAATTTTTATGATACATCAAACATGCACGAAATTCATTATTTGCCGATTCAGGTGTGTTTGGTAGCTTTCAATCTATTCAGGAGATCATTAAATCGTATTTTGAATTACATATTTTATACCTGTACTTAAACTTTTGTTTTTATACAACCTTGGAGTACTGATTGCTCAAATGGTCCGCTTAAAAGGTCTTGCTTTTGTCCTGTCCTCGATTTGCATAATTGTTTACAGGCTTTACAAAAATGTTTACTATTGTCATCTTCATATTCTTTAGCGAATTCAACTAGTCAAATATCTTAAAGTTCTTCTACTTTAATATTCGTCTGATACTTGTTCAATGTCGTCTAACATCTCGTTAAGTATCAACAGAACACTGTAGAGTCTGCTTTGAAAAGCAACTCGGTTGCGCTACCTTAGTAAATTTTCTTATATACTCTTACCAAAAACTGCAAGACCTATGAGGAGACAGACTAATTTAAGGACGTTCGATCCAGTGCTTTTGAGTCGATTTTGGTCTGGACCTTTATTTCTAAAATTCTGCATCATTTTTAAGTTTTAACATTGAATTCTACAATGCAGATTAAACTATATCCACTGCAAAAACCGCAATTAATTAAGGAATGACTCTAATTCTTGGCCATATTATCGAGTATAATCTGGTTTGGGTCAGTTTACGCTTTATAATCCGCGAAGCGGATTATAAAAAAGCGTAAACTGATCCAAACCAGATTATACTCGATAATATGGCCAAGAATTAGAGTCATTCCTTATAATTTAATTTTAAAATAATTAAACAACTTTTTATGTAAAATTGTGTTGCTTTTTATAAGTTCAAATTTACCGCGCAATAATACAACCGTAGTAACGGAAGTGATTTGAAGCGAGGGGAGGTAATAACTGATACATAGATCTTGCAGCCATGATGTTTGTTTACATGAGGTAAGAACGAGTAATTGTTTAAAGTTGAAGGTACATTTATTAAATTTGGAATTTTCCATGGATTCCGAGGACTGGAAATGAGGGGATTGCATGGATATGATGATTAAGCTGGTCGTCAAGGGGGTGTGTCCCCATACCAAACCAGATTATACAAAATGTTATGCGTTCCTTTTTGGAAATCAACCAATGAGAGGCGAGAATACAAATAAAATTAAATTATATTCCATTAAAGTAGGATTAAATCAGGAATTATATTTTGTTTTTAGAAGAAAATTAAAAATTTTTCCCGATTGAACTATAAACAGTCCTGTTAATTTTAGATTCCTATTTTCCACGCTGGTTGCATGGAAAGCTGTTTTTTGAAGTGAAATGTGTTATGCTTGTTCTGAAATATCTTCTAATTTATTTCTTATAAATTCTTTCAACGAATTATATCAAATATAGTAAATATATTCTGAAAGTCCAGGAAAAAACTGAGCCAATTTTAACATAAAATTGACATATTTTTTGTAATATCTAAAAATTTACATCATATACCCCCATTTTTGATGTTCTTTTGATGAATATTTAAGAAAACTTTGACCTATCTGCTTAAATTCTACAAAAGTTTAAGACTTTAAAATAAATTTCTTGCTTATTAAATTTTCAATGCTTGAAAAATCACATTTTGTGAGTGCAGAAAGGTTATTGATTATGCGAAGCAATTTGAAATTTTTTCTTAGTCAAATTTTAAGTGTCTTTTTAAAAATATGATTATACTTTATTTTGTTCCATGCTTTATTTGAATAAAAATACTGGAGGGAAAACGTTGAGGATGTAATTTTTTATTAAGACACAGATTTCAGTGCAAAAAGGTCATATTTAATGTACAGTAGCGCCAACAGAAGCATATTGACCTCCATATTTTGATTTGATTTTTAATTAAGCTATGTGTGTAGAAAGTAAAAATATACTTGACGAAAAAGTTTAAGACGTTAAATATCAGGAGCCAACTTCATAAAAGAAACTTAAGTTAAACTTAAACTTAAGTATTGAGTTTTTTCCTGACAAGATAAAGAAATATTTTATTATAAATGGATGTATTAAAGTTTGCAAGGTTTAACAATTTGTTGAAATATTTAACGAGTGGTTATTTAAATTCTTATATTCAAATAAATGGATCTAATGATTATGACACGTAAAATGTGGATTTTTTTTTTTCAAATTCAGGCCGCGTAGTTGGAAGCTAAGCACATTATTTTATACTGAAACAAATGATTCGGTTCTATTCTTTTTATGTGTGATTTTAACTAAAATTTTCTTGACAAATTGATTCTAAAAATTCAGAAATGCCTATCGTACAATAAAAAGGATAACACGCCATGATAAAGATCATCATTTGAAATTGCATTTTCTTCTTGCTTCCCGTAAATTAAAATTAATTGAACCTATACGTTCGTTGAAAAATTGCAGGGAACAATTTACATGATTATCATTATTTTGTTAATATAGTTTGAAAATCCAGAAGAGTCTTCTGTCATGTCATACATGTAAGTCGTTAACCTTTGAACACTTGAAGCTTTGCTCCAATACAATAAATCCGACATAGACAACACGATGCTTTTAATTTAAATCAATATGTTAACATCTGATTTTAAATCAGCTGTCATCACTCTATATTTGTCATTGGGTACATGTTAGCTTTTCAACTGAAATACAATTGAAGCTTTGAATAACTTTGACAGGCTGCTGGTACAGTATGTTTTTATCAGTGTGTGCATACATCTTCGTGAGCATTCTTTGTTTACATTTTGTTTCTGAAGGTGAGTTTATTTACTTTTGAGAGTTTTATTATTAAGAATAAGAGCAAACATTTTGATATTGACTTTAATTCTTAATATATTACAGTCTGATAAAAATGAAACCTTCACCAGCTCCTTTTTAGTTTGATTGTCACGCGACAAACAAAACTAAAAGGAACTAGTGAAGGTTTGATTTCAATCAGACTGGATAGATTATGATAGGAATGTAGCTATATGTTGTTATTTTAGATTTAGAATGATTTTGCTACATAAATGGTAATTAAATTCGGTAAGGAACACGAAAGTAAAGCATCAGGAAAGTGTTAATTTATAGTTCTTTCTAGGTACAAAAAAGAACCTTTAAAAACATCTTTTTTCATTTGCAGTGAAATGTCGAGAAATGTTTGAATCGTCTTTGGGTTATATGGATGTGACAGTAGTTAAAAACAATCTTTGGGTTCCGATAGTCACCGAAAACCTCGGAATGTGCGCCAAGAAGTGTGCCTTCGTTTCCGACTGCAGAGCATTTTCCTATAATCGGATTTCCAAAGACTGTTGGGTAACTCTCTCTCTCTCTTTCTCTCTCAACAGCCAGTGAAATTCTTGCAGTATCGCTAATTCACATCTGTTTTTCAGGGACATTCAGAGTTTTACACCACGGAGTCAGGAAAATTGATTCCTGATCCTGGAACACAGTACTTCAACAGAAAAAGTAAGTTTGACTATGACATTATAATTTTTAAAAATATTTTGAATTTCGTGATTGTAGACATACTTTTTTCCCATTATTTTTACCATTGTTTCACTCCAAATTATCTACGAATTTTCCCTTTGCCAAATTATAAGAAACACATATTGGATGTGATTCATTGATTAATTGTATGTTGTTTACGTCCCTCTCGAGAATTTATCACTCATATGGAGACGCCACCACTTGCCGGTGGAGAGCAAAAGAAATTGTATAATACTCGGCACTCAGGGCCATTGAACAGTAAAGGATCTTTTTCGTTCCAGCATCTACTTCGACATGGAACCTCGGTTATACGGTCTCATCCGAAGGACCGGTCTCCACGTCCCATAATGGGATTTCCTGCGATGTAAAGATAGACACCTTACTTCGCTATTTCTCTATGTCACCTGATCCCACCTGCTTTTACGTTTTAGCCCTTTGCTCGCAATATATTTTTTAGCAGTACTGAGGCTAATTATACTTATCCATGAAATGTTTTAAGGGTTACCGGTATTATTAATATTAAAGTTACATGTTTGACTTAAGTTGCCATTAATTCCAGAAGAAATAAAACTTACTATTCTAGGAGTAATAATTCACATTTGTATGCTTCATTTGTCTCGTATAAAGTCGCCATTTCGTATATTCTATGGTCAATGCAATGACCTTGTCTGCAAATACACACGTTGTGTGACCAGTTGGTAGGGAATACTCACTTCTTCTTGACACGTGATCCCACCTCTGATGTTTCGGAGGTCCGTGTTTGCTGCGCTCCTATTTTGTTTTGTTTAATGGACTTTTGAGCTCAAATACTGTTCGTTATCTCCACATATTTCATTACAAGATTACTTCTTATTTATATCATACTATGTAGTCTACGTCAAACCCACAACAATTCAACCAACAACAGAGGCTATCACAAAAAAATCACCAAAAGGTCAGAATGGTAACAAAAAAGCTGATGTTTCAGACGCTACTGCTGTATCTACAATACATGGCTCTACATTGGGTCAAACTACTGCACCTAAGTCAGATGACATTACTTCAGAACCAACCAGTTCTCTGCTTCAAGGACAATTTACTACAGAAACCAGCACTGCATCATAGGAGAAAAAAAATTAACTCAAAAACATGTATTATTGTACCTCTAGGATACGAAATTGGTGTTCGTGTATTATAAGATAAATGTTCTTAACCTCACAGTTTTATTTATTATTACGAGTATATACTTCTTTTGTTAAGTTGTTTATTTTGTTTAACGTTCTTTTCGAGAATTGTTAGCTATATGAAAACGCCGCTACTTACCGATAAAAGGCTGCAAATTTAGAGTTAAGGGCACTTACGGCTCCTGAGCAGTAAGGCATTTTTCGTACCAGCACCTAATGCGACAATTGACCTCCATTTTTTTGGTCTCATCCAAAGGACCGTTTCCAGTTTCCGCACCGGGATGATAACCCTCGATGTGAGGAATAATTTCTGGCTTCGCCAAATTCAGACAAATGTGCAATTGCGCAACGCTCCTTTATAATGATTAGAAAGGCCTCAGCAAATGTTTTCTTCTCAATCAATGTTATATATTTAGTAGTAAAATTGAAATTTTAATTTAAAATGGATTTTAACCATAATGATACTTATAAGAAAGTAAAAATAATTACTAACTAGAGCAAAGCTCGTTGCAAAGCAACGAGTAGGTCTTCCGTCCGGTTTTGACCGGAAGTGCCGGAAGTGACATCTGAAAGAGAAAGCAATGAGCTAAGTCTTCTGCAGTGACTTTATAATTTCAATTTTGAATCAAACCCTTTAAAATAAGCTATTTTTGGCTACTTCCGGTTTGACCGGAAGTGACGACGACGGACAGAAAATTAATTTTTATGCTCCCAGAGACATATGTTATCGAAAAACTTGTCAAGAACGGCAAAAATACGCGTTTTCCGACTACTTCCGGTTTGGCCGGAAGTGATGACGTCGCACGTATTTTGACGACTGCAGCAGATAAAACTTGACATTTTGATCAACTTTGCTTCTTTGACGTATTACAAATTCTCAATAGTTTTTGAGATATAAAGGAAAAACTTTCGGCCCCTGTACGTTCTTCATTTTAGGGGCCAGCCCTTTTTTGGAGGTATCATATGAAAGATCTTGTAATTCTACACTTCTTTTGTTCTACATGTCTTCACAAAATATTTCTAGGTAAAAAGTTATCGTAGAAAAGGTGTTAAAAATTTTGAATTCTTGATAAGAATATTTTCGGGCCATAGCGAACGCCGGCGCTACCTACTTCCGGTGAAAATGATATACTCAATGCACTTCTCCGAAGGTTGATCTATCATCACTGAAAATTTCATACTTCTATCTTCAACAGTTTTTGAGAACATTGCCGGACAAAGTGACCCTCTAAAATGACATAATCGCGAAAATCTACGAACCGGAAGTGACGTCATCAAAATAAAAAAATTTTATTTCTAGATTTTTTGATGTTCTATCAGATCTGAAAGTTTCATGAAAATCCATCGAGCCGTTTCCGAGAACTCGCGTGCACAAAATCGGTAAGAAAAAAAATAATAATAGGAAAAATAGTGGAAAAGAAACCTAAGAATAACAGTAAGGTCTTCCGCTGAAGACGGAAGACCTTAATTATTACTATTTTTTTATCATAATAAAAAATAATAAAAATAATAATCATTTTATAATATATTTATAATTAAACATATGTCAAATTTGAAATATGTTTAATTAATTCTATATATTTATGTTTAGCATATTGAGCATGAAAGCCCTCTTAATTGCATCCACATTGCCAAAAATTAATAGACAAAATGTCAGATGTGTTTTTGTAAATTTTAGAAGAGATGTGCTTCTCCTTCAGTAAGTTTTGAATACAGAGAATGCCCATCGCTTGTCAATTGTAAACATGAAGTTTTATGTTGACAGACTGGACACTGGTACTTGTTTTATGGTTGCCTAATAAAGAGAAAGGAGAGCAATGAAAAAGTAAAAAAAAAATAAATTAAAACCTGTCGTGAAACAATGGTAACTTATTACTTGCCGTTACCAGTAGACATAATTTGAATTTATATAAAGAAGAATTAATTTAATTTTTTTACAAGAAAATAGGACTGAAGTCTCATACTGTGACTTTCAACACTACATTTGGATTCATTGACAACGATATATTGATTAACAATACGTTGATTCGATTTATCCCGTTGAAATTGAAATAAAAATCTATCAAAGAGTCTGACATACCTGCTTCAAATTTAATAAGATAAATTTTAGTACAAAAAAAGGCAGCTAAGATAAATATGATATCTTCATTTTTTTTTATCATTACTTCCCTTTATTTAAATATCAAAATACAATACACATCACTTTCTCTTCCATGGAATTATAATGGGATTTCCTGTATAATGAAAAATCCACCCATTCTCCAGGATTTTACAGAGCATTTCATAATTGCAAACTTGCACAAAAAGTTCGCAGACTCTTAGATTCATAATTGTGATAGAGCATCAACGAAGTTCAGTCGGGGTAAATTCTCAAGCCTCTAAGAAATGAATGTTTGGGTATATATTTGTCTTGCAATCTTGGTTCAAAATCATAAGTCTAAGATTCCAGGAGTGAATTATTTATTTTGTTTCATGATAGACATCCTTCCTCGATTTCTTACGTAAATTATTCTTTAACTTACATTTAATGCATGTCTGCCTTTATTTCTTTCTTCATTTATGTGTAAAAGCATTTTCGATTCCTCCCCGGATTTTATAGGCCTTGGGATTACCGACCTGAGTTATGCATCTGGCAAAGTCCAAAGCCTGCAAGCAATATTGGAGAGTGTGCAACAATCTGCCACTTCTAACCTTCATGTCTCTCTTTCACATTTAACTTTATACTCAGTCATTGCCAGGTATGTAAACAGCATTCTGATTATAAATCACAAAAGTTTTTATTTCTAGATTTCATTCATCCACCTTTTATAAAGAATAAAATCACTAAAGAAATATAAAATATCTTTTAAAAAATTACCGAAGTATGTCTTCTGGCACCTAATTTAGGATTTTGGAAATATAAATCGACTATCAGCTACCTGACTAGAAACATTTATAAAACAATCATATCACATGAGCAAAATTAAGAACACAGTTTTTAAAAGCAATGTATTATTTTTATAATTTTTATTGATATGTATTAACACAAATTTAAAAAAAATTCATTCATAACGGAAAAGATGGAAATAATGAATCTTTGCATATTTTTGGCAAAAGCATCGACAATTATACTGAATAAGAACAACTCTGATCTGCAAACTGTTGATGGTGCACGCTATTTCTACCAATCGAATATCCCCTTGACAACAAGTATGTAAAGTTTATGCATTTCTTTCTCTGAAATGCGTTAATTTTTCAGACAAACTTCGATTTTTAAAAAATAAATACTTCATAAATAATTATTCATTTGTCTTGCCGTTTCTCTGATGTATACATGTATTTTCAGAAGCTACTCATTGACATTGTCTATATGCAGGTCTTCCAATGCCCTGTTGAATTTTTTAAGATAACAAATAATGATTAATTAAAAAAATTCTACAAACAATACAAAGGTGTGAATATGGCATAAAATGAGGAACGTTCGTTGTACCCTTTAATCCCACAATCAAAAACTTCAGTTTGAAACAAAAAAGGAATTTCTTTAGCATCAATTCATCGTTTAGATATTGAAACGGTGTGTTCCCCGAACGTCTAAAACCTATATAAACAGTATAATTATCACACTCAATTAAGGGGCCCCTCTAAGGGGCACAGGTAGAGTTTACCTGTTTTAAACTGTAGGAATAAAATACAAAAAATATCTTAGCAATAAGTCCTATAAAATAAATTAAATGTTATTCAAATTTTTAAATATTTTTTACTCAAAGATTTTTCAAATTATTTATTTTATTTAGAAAAAAAGTTAATTTTAATGTGATAATTAATCTTTAATTCTATAAAATAAATTAAATGTTATTCAAATTTTAAAAATGTTTTTTACTCAAAAAATTTTCAAATTATTTATTTTATTTAGAAAAAAAGTTTATTTTATTGTGCTAATAAACATTTAATTATATTTATTTTTTAATAAAAATGTTAATTTTTTAGCATTGAATATATTAATATATTTAAATGCATTTAACATATTTAAAAAGACAAAAAAAATCTTTCGTTTTCTTTTAGAAATAATCTAGACTAGATATTTTTTTTAATCCATCAGTTGAATTCAGTTATTTTGTTATGGTGCTTAAAAAATTTTCATGTTCGTTTTTAGCTTAAGTTTAAGCATTTATTGGTTGGATTCGGAAGACAGCAACATACCCATCCCGCAGACCAAGCCAAAGTTGTCGCTAAACAAATAATGAATTCCATCACCAAGCGATGCGCAGAAGAAGTTAGACCCATCCCGTCCATCTTTACAGAAGAGCTCAACTCCCTGCGAGATGCCCAGTGGGACGACACCAGCAAAGAGGTCATCGAGAACTTGCCAACCTTCAACACTGCAAAATCATCGCTGTACAGAGCCCGCCGGAAACAGACACCCCCACTCCCAAAGACACTTACAGACATCAGACTGGAAGGAAAATGGACAGAGACAGAGACCGGTCAACAATTCCTACTCCTAGACGACACATTCCAGAACACCAGAATCATCACCTATGCAACTACTGACAACCTTAGAGACCTTGCAGCATCCTAGACCTTCTTCTGTGATGGTACATTTTACACCTGTCCCAGCCTCTTCCAACAAATCTTCAGCATCCATGTGCGGATTGACGATGTGATGACACCAGTTGTTTACGCCCTCTTACCCGGCAAGAGTCAAGCGATCTACACCAGATTCTTCTCAACTCTGCTAGAAAAAATCAACGACCTTGGACTACAGTTTTGTGCTACCAACGCCCTTGCTGACTTCGAGACAGCTATCCACAATTCCATTCGACAAGTGTTTCCTGGAGTCAACACAAAGGGCTGCTTCTTCCACTTCACACAGGCGGTATGGCGAAGAGCGCAACAGACTGGATTACAGATTCCGTACAAAGAGAATGACGACGTCAAGACATTGCGCAGTTATGATAAGGCTGTCCGAAGGCTTAAAATGTCTTAAAAATATACATTTTATTTTCAGCTAGATTTGAATTTCAATATGTTATCCTTGTTTTAAA